TGTGCCAAAGTAAGTCCAGATAATACTGCCAATCTTAAGGCTAAATGAAATTTACTAAGATCCTATTTACTCTGTCATTGCCATTTGGCAGTTTCCAGAAAGGGTAGGAGAGGGAAGCTTTTAAAATCTACTGAATTGACTATGTGTCAGGTACCTTACCCATGTTATTTCACTGAATTTATGTCAATAAAGGGATTTGGGATCTAGTACACAGTACCAGAGTTCCTCCTTCCTGAGGGCATTCAGAGAAATAGACATTTTGGAAAGTCTTCAGCTGTTGCTCCAACAAGGGAAACTGTTTTTGATATATCTGTTGATAGCAAATGACTGACTAAAAGAACCCCTAGGCAAAAAAGGATTTTTAAATAAAATCCTTACTCAAGGATATGTTTCTTTGTTATTGTTAATCCTCACCTGAGAATATTTTTTCCACTGATATTTTTTTTAGAGAAAGTGGGAGGGAAAGGGAGAGAGAAACATCAATGTGAGAAAGGCACATTGACTAGTTGCCTCCCACACATGCCCCAACCAGGGCCCAGGGATTGAACATGCAATCTAGGTACCTGCACTTGACTGATGCTCTAACCACTGAAACACATTGGCCAGGGCAGATATTTTTTAAAAATTGATTTTTAGAAAGAAAGGAAGAGAGATAAAGAAACATCAATGTGAGAGAGAATCATAAATTGGTTGCCTCCCATATATGCCTGATCAGGGATCAAACTTGAAATCTAGGTATGTGCCATGACTGAGAAGTGAAACTGCAACCTTTTGGTGTATGGGATGACACTCCAATCAACTGAACCATCTGGCCACGGCCAAAACAGGATTTTAGTTGTGGTGAAAATGCTGACACCCACAGCAAGAAGGGACATACACAACCCCAGAGTCACAGATGTGTCAGATAGTTCCTTTATGGGACAGTAAGTGCCTTCATTCCCACAAATGCACGATTAGACAGCCTCTGCAAATAACTGCTCTAGTTCAGAAACCACAAATTAAAAATAAATAACTCACCTGACATACCGATTCTACAGAGATGCCCCCCACCCCGCCATGAGCAAAAAATAGTGGTGAGAGGTCCTTAAAATACAACAGAGGGAATCAAAAGTGCTTTACTTCTGAAGACATAAATAAGCATTCTTTCTCTTTAAAGAATTCTTCCTACAAGACTATGTTTCTTTACAATATGGCAACCATTCTGTCTTCCAAATGTCATCATCTTACATTTGTGTTGTATTTACATAGAAATTCCACATGTAGTAACTAATTAAAGCCCCTATAACAATTTACAAGTAGGTAGTGTGGTACTATGCCCAGCTATTGAGACACTGATGACTACTGAATTTTACAGGACCACATGGGATTTCAGAATTATGAAGTCCACAAATGTGAAGGAGAGATATGTTAGATATGAAGAAAATTAAAGAAATGTGCCACCTTCCTAAATCTAAATACTAATGCCAATGAGCCCAAATCTTCTGGAGATAAAGGCTCTCCATTATCTCAAGGGCCTAAAATTAAATGCCTCAAAACCTCTACATATGCTCAGTGCTCCTTGATAATTAACCAGGGAACAAGTGGTTCTATTATTCATTTTCTTGTTACAGGCATTAGCCCAGAGACAACTAATAGCTATTTCTAAGCAAGGTTCAAGGGAGCTTAGCCATAAGTTGAGAAAAGGACTGGTCTTGGGCCTGTGTCATAACCACTCCTCCTCCTTCATCTCAATTTGGTCTGCTTTTTGGGGGGGAAGAGGAGAGGTTGCCAAAGAAAGCAGTGGGAGGAGTTTTTTGGTTAAGAAACAGAACTTAGAGCTGTGTTGTAATCATGTGCGTAAAGAAAGGCTTAGGACGTGCCAGACTTCCACAGCAGGAAACAAGCGCTGTGGTTTGCCTACTGCTAGGGATTCCCCTCTTGGGTTAAGCAAAAGGTCAGGAAAGATAATGGCTCTTTCCTGGTGTCAACAAAGTCAAAGGATAGTGGAAATTCCAGGAGGAATAGGGGTTCTAAAATGCTATATGCAAGTGATGTCCACATTATTCTATATGTAAACTCACAATAATACCATCTATTTTAGAGAAAAATAAGCTATGTCTGATGTCTAATCAACTGGCCTGTTAGTTAATATATATCACCTAATGATAGCCATCACATTAGGGGGAAAAGTTACAACAGATAAAATTCCACATCGTAGGAATCCAATGAATGCTTGCTTAGAGAATGGTCTGAGGTGAAGGATACAGCAGCAGTAACCAAACCTCAAAATCATTTTACCTATTCTTCCACCTCATAATACATAACTACATTTTTCTTAGTGTTTTATACCTTACAATAGCACTTTAATATATATTATCTTATTTAAATATAATTAAGATTCTTCTAAATCATTAAAGTTTAAAAGGATTTTTCACTTTATTTATTTTATTTTTTTGACATGGCTCTCTTCAGTTTATTGCATGAAGGAGTTATACTAGTCCAAGTTAAAAGCAGACCCCCAAATGGTTACATTATAAAAGCTGAGGTTTTTAAACTTGTGACATGGGAGAGAAGGGAAATTCTACTCATTTCAAGGAAATCCTCACTTAAGCCTCAGTGAGCCAAAAGCACTTAAAATCTATGAACCTTCAGCTGGTGTCCTTAGCTAGTCCAATCTCTACAAGGAATTGGTGTATATTATTGCGCTGGTCATCCTGTAGCTGAATTACTTCTCCATATTCTGGATGTTCAATTACAGTACCATTGCAGACAAATTTCTTCTTAAACATCTTCATTAGTTTCTTTTTATTGTAACCATCAGAGAGCCCTTGGACAGTAGTAAGGGTCTTCCTGCCCTTTCTCTGTTTAAATTCTTACACGGATACAATCCTCAGTGCCAGCAGGAAGCAGATCATCACCCTTACTTGCATCAGCAAAGGGGTCAACACAGTGGAGGTTCTGGACAGCAGACATACAATACTATATGATGATACTACAGGATTCCTTTTCCTTTGTGGAAGTGGCCTGTGGAAGGGCTGCTGGGGAGGGGGGCGAGGCTCAAGAGGGATATTGCTGAATCCTCAGCAGCAGCAGCTCAATGACGGTGGCCTCACTTGACTCTAAATTCATCAAATAAAAAGTCTCTCTTGCCCTGGCTGGTTTGGCTCAGTGGTTGGAGCCTCAGCCTGTGGACCAGAGAGTCCTGGGTTCGGTTCCCGCAAGGGGCACATACCAAAAAAAAAAGAGTCTCTCTTGCTTTATTTCTTTTAATTCAACTAGCTTGGAGACAGAAACAGGCAAATCAAAGTCTCTACCGGGAATTGTCTTCCATTCACTGCTGCATATTTGCTCCTGTTTACTGCCTACAAATAACTTGATCTAGTTTTGTTCAACTGAACACTTGAACTAGGGAAAAGAGGAAAGACTTGAAGAGCTTCGATTGTTGTACTATTACTTCCTGTTGCAGAATTAGTCACTTCCAATCTTCCATTAGGATATTCCATTCCAAATCCTTACCAAAGTAATTTCTCCAGTCCCTTCCCTCCTAGAAAATTATCTTAAATCACTTAAAACAACTTTCCTTGTTTATTTAGTTTACATTCTTCAAAAGCCATTTACATTTCCTGCACCCCACCTCTTCATGCCCACAGGTACTGTTTGTAAAGACTCTGATCTGGGTAAAAATACTCTTATCTTACTGTAAAGATCAATTCTCCAGTCTTAAATAGTTCTTGTGGTTTTTCAAAGGTGCTCTTGATTTGAAGAACCATTTTGTGCTGCTCCCAAAGTCTCTCATAATAGAGATGAAAAGAGCTCAGTCCCCCTTTCCCTTATTTTATTTATTTATTTTTTTAATCCTCACCCGAGGACATTTTTGCATTTTTTGTTCAGACAGAGCGGGAGAGAGAGAGAGGAAGAGAGAGAGAGAGAGAAACATCGATGTGAAGGGACACATCGAGTGGTTGCCACCCGCACGACCAACCAGGGCCAGGGACAAACTGCAACCGAGGTACGTGCCCTTAGCGGGAACCGAACCCGGGTCTCTCTGTACCGCAGGCCGACACTCTAACCGCTGAGCCAAACTGGCCAGGGCCTTTCCCTTATTTTATACACACCTTTATTTCCCTACCACACAGATAAATGCCAGTTTTTATTCTCTGTAATACTTCCTGTAAGCCAAGATTTCTACTTGTTCTCACTATCCCTAGTCCACTGCAGTTTTTTCTTCCAATTTGCTCTCTTTCTTAGTCTGAGATCATTTTAACTGAAAGCTCCTTTTGTCTTAGGTATATATAGTGTGGGGCAAAAGTAGGTTTACAGTTGCTTATATGAGAAATAATACAATAATTAATAAATAATAACAAAGAAACTTTCTTGCATTCACAATTGTAAACCCACTTTTGCCCCACCCTGCATAGAGCTGTTAGTCTGGGAATAGAAACCTTAGAAATTAAAAACAAGCCCAGCTGGTGTGGCTCAGTGGTTGAATGTTGACCCATGCACCAGGAGGTTGCTGGTTCGATGCCTGGTCAGGGCACATGCCTGGGTTGTGGGCCCGATCCCCAGTGGGGGGCATGCAGGAGGTGGCCAATCGATGTTCTCTCTCACTGATGTTTCTACCTCTCTTTCCTCTCCCTTCCTCTCTCTCTAAAAATCAATAAAGAAAAATTTTTTTTAAATCAAATCACTTTTCTTAACCATGGACATTAACATTTAAATGAATTCCAGCTTTTAAAAATTATAAATATATATCTGCTTGCTAATGGCATATGCTTGTGTTTTATCACACCAACACTTTTATGGGACAGTTGGTTTAGTCATTTGGCTAACAACATAGCCAGAATATTGTTCAGGGCTGTTAATACAACTTTTGTATCAATAAAATTGTAGCTGCCTGTCACATGACTGCTGAGAAAACCATAGCCTTCTGGGCATGGCACAGCTGGTTGGCCTGAGTAGGTTACAGAAACCTCACAGCACAGCACACGACTGCCTCTTCTGGCTGTTACAATGGAACATACCTCTTCATAATTTTTCGCCTCCACTCCATGCTTCATGTCTAGGATCACGAGTTGGTCAGGTATCCGCCCTGTTCCTGAGGAAGAAATCAAAGGATTCATTGTGTGGAATATTTAAAATTCCGGGAAATCACCCACCCGCCCACCCTCTCCCTGACCCCTCCCCTCTCAATAGAGGGAAATAGCCACAACTCCTCCCCCTACTCAGCTGCAGAAAATTCCAGGCACTGGCTAAAATCACAAGCATCCAGACAAAGCCTCTGTCTGTGTGGGGTGCCGGAAAGCAAAGAGAACACGCTGCTGACAAACATCTCTAAGCAGGCAGGACACAAGATACTGCAGCTGGTACTGCAGAGGAACAGAACAGGAGGAGAGAAAACACTCAGGCTTTTGGGAATAGGAAATAAAACTCAAAGGTCAAAACAGTGTAAAACTGAGTGGCATATATAGACCAATAGGTAGTGGGCACTAACTCAAGTTGAAAAGATACATTTCCACATCTGAAAAGGTTGTCTTGTCAAATTTTGAGAAAAGGATTACTGGGCATATACTAAGTTTGGATTTATTTAATACAAACTAGTACTGAAAAGAACACAGACTTTATCTAATATTTCACTTTAATTAAAACATTTTACTCAATGTAAGGTCATATCAATAAGTAAATAAAATGTTGTAGGGTTAGTCCCACAAAACCCTTAAAAGGGAACAGCCCAAGAAAAAACTTGACAATAAAAGTACAATTCTCAGGGATGCTTCTTAGAAATAGAAATGTCTATTTGGTATAGTAAGGCCAACAGAGCAATGGTCATTATTTTAAAAGGTAATACGATTCAGCTTGATCAAAAAGGAATTCTAATGTTACATCATCAAGTAGGAGAAAGGGAGACTCCAAGATCCCCCCCAAATTGCTTAGCCCCAATCCCCTGGAATTCACCTATTTATAAAATAAAGAACTGGCTGTACGAAATTAGGAGTTTTGGGAAACAGTGCCACTTAAGCATTGGGAATCCAGAGACCATAAGCCACAGGGAACAGTACTGTACCTTCTGCTGCCTGAGAGGCACTGGAGGTTTTCTGAAACAGACTGAAGTCAATTCAGTAACTACTCACTGGGAACTTACTGGGTGCTAAGGACTGTACTAGAGACTACAATCTCTGCCTTCAAATAATTCTATGGGGAGCTAAAACATGAACACAAGTAATAGCTACAGTGAAAATACAAAGCAGTATAAAACTTCAAGAGAAAAAAACTGGCTCATATAATCCCATTTATGGAGCAAAGGTTAGAGGAGGGAAGAGATTAGAGGGAGCACCTGAAGGCAGGACAAGGTATTCTAGGCAGAAGGCAAGCATGGGCAAAGGCTCAGGCACTGAAATTAGTATGACATGTTTAAATGACAGTAAAAAAGTTCTTTTGGATAGACTGGGAACATTGATTTAAAAGCAATAGAGCCTGGCAGGTGTGGCTCAGTGAATTGAGCGTTGTCCCATGGACTGAGAGGTCTGGGTTTGATTCCTAGTCAGGGCACATGCCAAGGTTGCAGGCTCAATACCTGGTGGGGGTCATGCAGGAGGCGGCCGATCCATGTTTCTCTCTCAAATTGATATTTCTATCGCTCTCTCCCTCTCACTTCCTCTCTCTCTAAAATCAATACAGGGGGAAAAAAAACAAAAACAAAAACGTATGACAAGTCACAGTTGTCTTCTGAGCATTTAAACCAGTAAGTCTCCAAAAAACAACAAAACAAAACAAAAAGTGACATCCAGAGAGGTCTCTTCTCCCCAATCCAATTGTAATCCTGATCTCAGAATTGCCCATAGAGATGCAATACAAATTTTTGCTTTTTCTTCCTCATTAAAAAAAGTTGTGAAATCCAAGCAGCTCACAGCCCTACCTCGTTTAAATGATCAAGATATTCTCTTCCTAAGAGACTCTTCCCATGTTCCATTTGCCACAGCACAGTATTAGCATTATTCAAACACAAGTGAAACCACAAAACCACCCAGGCTGGTCTGAGTCCAGACTATACAATCTCTTGCACAGACCAGCTAGCCTATCTTCTTAGCAAACATCACAGCCATAAAGGGTCTCCTTTGTAAAAAGTCCCTTCAGGCCCTGGCTGGTTTGGCTCAGTGGTTAGAGCGTCGGCCTATGGTCCGAGAGACCTGGGTTTGGTTCCTGCTAAGGGCATGTACTGTGGTTGCATTTTGTCCCCGGCCCTGGTTGGGTCGTGCAAGAGGCAGCCACTTGATGTGTCCCTTTCACATTGATGTTTCTCTCTCTCTCCCCCTCCCACTCTATCTGAACAAAAATTGGAAAAGTGTCCTCGGGTGAGGATTAAAAAAAAAAAAAAAAAAAAAGACCCTTAAGTAATTTCTCTCTACATTTGCCTGGCAAAAAGACAATCTTTTACTTATTTATTTTTTATCCTCACCTGAGGATATTTTTCCATTTATCTTCAGATAGAGTGGGAGGGAGGAGGAGAGAGACAGAGAGAGAGAGAAACATCGATGAGAGAGAGACACATCAACTGGCTGCCTCCTGCACGACCACCAACCAGGGCTGGGGATGAACTGCAACCGAAGTACATGCCCTTGACCAGAACCGAACCCGCAACTCATTGGTCCTCATGCTGATGCTCTAACCACTGATCAAAACCAGCTAGGGCAAAAAGACAATCTTTCAAAAGGTGCTCCCAAGCCTACAAAGTATCAGGTCTCCAAATCAAAATAAACAGAGAACACAAATGAAACTAAAAATTGAGTGTTTACTATAATGTGTCTGTGTGTGTGTATATATTATATATATTTCTTATTTTACTTTTTTTTTAATCTGATGTTTTTCTCTCCCTCCCTCCCTCCCACTCTATCTGAAGATAAATAGAAAAATATCCTCGAGTGAGGATTAAAAAAAGAAAAAAAGGACTAACATAATGAAAGATGTTTTAAGAGATAAATCTGGTACCAGTATTGGGCTATATTAAAAACAGGAGTATGAGTTATATGGCTAAGGACATAATTCATGATTTAAAAGGCTAGAGTTCAGATTTGTGTGGTGACAGGTACAGAAGATATTTTGAATAAATTATCAGCATAACTTGATGATAGACTAGAAACGACAAAAATAATTTCAGAAATATGAGCCCAAGTAACTGGAAGTATGATGGGAATACTGATGAGACAGGAGAACTAGTTTGAAAGAGAAGTTCATGATATCTTAGTTATGAGCTAAGAGTGGCACAATCATGGAAATGTCTAGAATACTGTTGAGACATCTTGGAACTGATACGGGTAGGGGTAGGGAAAAAGATATCAGTCATGAAATCACTATTAAAGTCCTTTAATTTTCTATTCTCAATCCATCATTCCATTTACTTCAGGCAAACTCCCTTAGCTTTTAGGCTCAGTTGACCCACTTTAGATCAAAGGAGTCAATTCTTGGTTAACTGTCAAAAGCAACAAGTTGATCAGCTATTCCTGGGACTCTACTGGCACTGTTGGCCAAGGTGCTTGCTTTTCTTCTAGATCATATATTATGAACATTCTATAAATGTGAAATTGCCAAGCCCTGGCCGGTTTGGCTCAGCGGTTAGAGCATCGGCCTGCAGTCCAGAGAGGCATGGGTTTGGTTCCCACTAAGGGCGCGTACCTCGGTTGCAGTTTGTCCCCAGCCCTGGCTGGTCGTGCGGGTGGCAGCCACTCGATGTGTCCCTTTCACATCGCTGTTTCTCTCTCTCTCTCTCTCTCTCTCTCTCTCTCTCCCTCCCACTCTATCTGAACAAAAAATGGAAAAATGTCCTCGGGTGAGGATAAAAAAAAAGAAATGTGAAATTGCCAAGAGTCCTCTGCTACCATACAGAGAAAGCCTGAGAATAAAGTCAAATGGAGGCAAGGAAAGGAAGCACAAAAGGATAGGCAAAGTTCCAACAATCCTATTAAAACCCCAATATCCAGCTAGGCCTGAGGTCAGCCCCACATTGAAGACTTCCTGGTTCAGAGAGTTAAATGGTCTTCCTTTTTTTTCTCTTTAAGCCAGTCTGAGTTGTTTTTTGTGTCTTGTTGCCCAACAGGGTCCCAAATAATATAAGTATAAATACATACAGCTTTTAGAGTCTAGTGTCCTTGAAGTGAAAGCATAGGAAATGAAGGGGAATCTGCTTTTTCACCTACCACTGAGCATTAGAAACCATCAGGTAATGAGCCTAAAAGTTACTGTAGGATCTTGGCCTTGAGATGCACAGAAGAATCCATTGCAAGATATAAGGATTAGAAAATAACTAGTGTTCTGAATACCAAAACTGCTCCAGACTTTATAGGTTGTTGAATAACATTTTATTCAACGATTTGTGATAATGTAGATGCCACAGGAACTTAACTCTTTGTTTATATCAATTAGCCTCTGGTAAAACTGGTTTCATTATATGTTGTTTTGCTGAAAGTTGCAGAACCTATCAACAACATTAAGTGAGGACTTACTGTATATTTTAGCATCTATCCCAAATTAAACTCTTATCATCCAAGCCAGTATGTCACAGCATTTAAGAAATACCTACTCCTGCACATGAAGAATGCTAGTTTCACTTATATGTGTACGTACACACTCCAGCAAATGTAGTTTTCATTTCCTCTTCCTGCTGGTTTAAGAGAGAAAGTTCATACTCTAGCTTACTTAAGAGAAGACATTTAATTCAGGGATAGAAAACACTCTGATTACTTACCTTTGCTCTCAAAACACACTTCGAACATGTCATAATCTTCAGTGGTAAAGGCAAATTTCCCCTTGGTTGCATCCTCCTTGGAATACAGAATATGGCTAGCAGAATCTGTGATCTAAAATAAAAAAGTAAGTAAGGGCAGGCAGCAAATAACACTCAGGAAGAAAACTGACAGAAACTGGAGAAATGGAAAGAAACACTGTCTATAAAAGACACTTATCATAATGATGACAATGTTCCAACCATTCCCAAAGACAGGAATTGGATTAGAGGATGAAACCCCAATACAGCAAATTTCATTCATTCAAACAGCCTATCCACCACTACAGGTTAAAATCTGTTGCCATTATAAAATGATAGCTGAGGTATAAATTGGGTTTAGTAACAAAGGTTCACTCTACAGAATGTATATCAGTATAATTTCCCAGAAAGGGACAGGTCACAAAAATGGACATGGATGATTACCAAAAGAATAGACTACAAAAAGGATAAAGACATATAAGAACTTCTGTAAAATAAATCTTGATAGGGTTGAGGAGGGGCAATGAGTGGAATGGGATACTTGCTATAAGGAGAGAAGGAAAAGAAGGCAAACACAGGAAAGAAAATCTGGCAGATGTATTCCTCCAAATGTCATGTTAATCATGTCAGTGGCTACATGGGGTGGGAAAAAGGCACAGAAGATGAACAAGAAGGTTCTCCCAAAGAAGGCATCCTTGGCTTCCACAAATGATAATGCCTTCCTCATAGGGTGTTAGCTTTAATTCTCCAAACTTAAACTGCTCCATTCCTAGAGAATGGTCTCTAAGCAAAGATGAAGTGGCATATATTGGTTAGTGAATGGTCACCTATAAAGGAGGGAATGACATGGTAATATGACAGACTGGATCCAGGCTTCTTTTCTAGAGCACATGGCTGTCTCAGCAGAAGGCAATTTCATTACCTAAGGCAAAAGCTACTTACAATGTGAAACACAAAAGTAGTAGCTTCGTTATATAACTGGATGGTCTAATGCTGTTTATAAAACAATATTCATTCATAGGTGAGATTTAAACACAAAAATTGAATAGCACACATATACACTTACATATTTAAAGTACTTCACTAGTTATTTCTGAGTACAGTAGTGAGATTTCTTTATAATAAACTCTTATTTTCTTTTGATTATCTCACAAAGGCACATATTGTCTTATGGCCAGAAATAAAGTTATTTAATTTTTGGGAAAAAAATACAATAACTGAAGAACAGCTAACACAGCCAGACAAATTTTAAACAATGGGTTAATTAAAAAGGTTTTATGACATCTTCTAAAGGCCCTAAAAATAACAGCAGTAATAGTAATCAAGTATCTTTTGCCATGAATGATGTTTCAGGACTGTCAAGCATTTAGGATGCCTCAATCTGCGCTGGTCATTGGGGATACAAGGATGTGTAAGATAAGTGCACTACTAGAGGTATGCACAGGTACCCCAGGATTATGGAGGTTCAGACAGTGTATTATGGAGGATGTGACACATGAGCTAAGTCCTCAAGGATAAGTTGCAATCAAGGGAAGAATCGAGGTAAAGACTTCAGGGTAGAAGAGACAGCAAATATGAATGCCTGGGGTCCAGGAAAAACAAAATGTGGTATCATCATAATACTAACAGCTAGTATTTACTGAGCACTTACTAAGTGTCAAGTACTGTGTCAACTACTTTATATGCATTTTAATTTAATCTTCACTATAGCCCTATAGGTAAGAACTATTATTTTCCCCATGTTCCACAGGAAGAAAGTGAGGTACAGAAAAATTAAGTGGCTGGAAAGGTACTGACCTGATCATGTAGAACTGCAACACCATGCTAAGGAGTTTACATTTCATTTAGTACAAAGTGGAAAGGCAATGAAAAATTTGAAAAAAAAAAAGAATGCTGTGAATCAATTTGCAATTTAGACAAATGAATGTGATACTACTAGGAAGACAGACTCAAGAGGGACAATACCAGAGATGAGTTAGGACACTATTGTAGTACTCCAGATTTAAAATGATGAGGGCTGTGAATATAGAGAGAAGGGAACAGGTTTGCAGGATCTTAAGGAGGGAGGGATCACAGGACAAGACCAAAAGTAAATGCCCACAAGGACCAAGCAAGCAGCATAACTGAATCTAATGGACCATTGTAAGTCCACAGGGTGTGGTGGACAATGTGGCAAACTGGATAGGCCTGTCTCAAGAAAGAAAACAGTGACAGCCATGGCATGCCAGGTTTTCTAATCATCCAATTTTTCAAAAGAAGCTAGATATTTTAACTTTTATTTGAAATCACCTAGTTTTTAAATCCTCACAAGTAATCCCAACATTTAAAAAACTATCTCAAAGCCAATCAAGATCTCTATAGAACCAAGTTCTTCTGAGCCACCAATTTATGACCTCTGCGTAGAACAGGAAGAAAATAGACTAAAATTATGTAAAAGAGCTGCTGGGCAGCGCTGAGATCATGGACCATAGATTTCTGGTGGCAACACCTAGCAGCCAAGATGTAGGAACAGAGAAAAGCATTAAATGATTTAGGCTTAGGGTTCTCAACTGAGTGGTTGTAAAGGCCAAGGGGATTAAGGAGTTATGCTATAAACTTTATGTACATAATCTTCAATCCTCACAACAATCTCATAAAGGCCAGTCTCATTATCCCCATTTTACTGGTGAGGAAATTTAGTAACATGTCCATTATCACAGAGTTAATAAATTGTGTATGTGTATTTGAAGCAGTCTAAAACCCATAATCTTTTCACATTCTATGTTGCATCCCCACAAAAGGAATGTCTGAAAGAAGTGGTATGCACAGAAGCCAAGAAAGACTAACAGAATCTGATAGATTCTTTGGGTCAGTGCAAGTCAGAGAACCTGAGAGTCCTCTGAAGTGGGACACAGCCACTTTTCAGTCTGCATTCTCCTTAGATTAGCAGGCAGCCACAAGGTAGAGTCCTTGATGTCAGCATAACTAGTAGATAATCTGCAAGCAAATACATAGCCCTGAAGATTTCTAAAGTCTTCTTGTTCATGTGATGCTTCTTCTGAATAATCAACTAAAAGAAAAATTGTAATCTGGGAACTAATAAAATCTCAAAGTGATGTGTAGTAACCAGTGTGGGGCCACTCTTCCTTTCTTCAGAATCTATTCACCCATCCCACTTTCTAGCCCCCAAAAGCACAGTGACAATTCTCAAGAGCAAAGAGGAAGCTCAAAAAGACAGATCGCAGGAATAACAGGTTTTCACATTCCAAGTTGATCCAAAAACTCTAATTTGGATTTAGCTTCTATGAATAAAGTTGCAGAAACTGTATAACTTCTCCAAGGTATATCTGGATAATAAGCTTCCAGATTTGCTCAGTGTATTAGCTTAATTCTTAAGAGAAAAGGAAAGGATTACAGGTTGCTAGAAATGTTTAAATGTAAATGAAACCAGTAGAAGACAGCAGGAAATAAACATCAACAGTATGGTACTGAACAGTCATCACAGATGTCATCATCTCCACAGTCAGGCAAGGAAAGAGACCAGGTGACTTGCCTAGAACAAACTACCCAACTTAGTTGGGCTTACAAGATTTGGCACACACTTGCCAACTTGTTTCCTAGAATAATAGTTTATGTTCTCTTTGTATTCTCCTAAGATATTAAAAGGGTTCTTTAAAAAAAAGTTATTAATTTAAGGAGACTCTCTAGATGATAAAGGAGCATAGATGCGGGTCAGAAATGTCTTAGTGAGGTATGGGCAAAATCCTTTTATCAAGTAATTTACTAAATGAATTAAAAAGTCTGCCATACTTTTCTGAAAGACACACCTCTACACCTCCAATTGGTACTCAGAAGGGGTAAAAATTGTTAAAATTGTCCTCTTCTGTGTTGTACTGAGGAACTATAATCACAGAACCTTTTGCTTGGTTGGTTCTTTCTACAACATCTAAAACTGTATTAAAAATTCATTCTAAGGAAAAACTGAAATGCTCTATAAGAGGTTGAAGGCAAAGGACCCATCACTGCCTATACCTTTTATCAGCATGAAATTTACCTCCCAGAAACAGTGTGCAATAATGATCACAATTTCCTTGGGGCCTCCGCATTTCTATACGGCTTATGATCTTGAGTTGACAGAACTATATGAGGGTATTTATCTAGAAATTTAGAAATCCATGCAGGCAACTTGACAACTTATCCTTAACGCCAGGCTCATAAGAACTGTTTGGTGGGCATTTTAACAGATCCTAGAATTTTTCTGAAAATCAGTAGATTTCCCATGTAGTTCATAACTTCACAGCTATTTAGGAGTGAAGTCACTGATCTTAAGGAAAAAACAAATCACATGCCCTAACCCCAACATAATTACATAAATCAGCAGGTAGCTAAAATTAGGGAATAGAAAACTGGGCCAAGCTAAGTGACTAGCCAGAGCTAGCAAAATCTAATAGGCTGAAATGATGGTTTTATATTTCCTTTAAATTAAAATGTTCTAATTATAGATCACCTCAAAAGATCATCTTGTTTCTCAAGAATTGAGATTTTATTTTTTTTCTTCTTAAATTCTATTAGAGAACCACCTAGGTAATGATAAATAACTGCCACTTTCACCTACTATAACAGCAAGCCCTTAAATGATTCCTTCCTTCCCTTTTAACAATAAAAACACTTATAATACATATTGTATAGTTCTTAATTAAACAAGGGTAATATCAAGCCATAAAATTTGCCCATATAACATCAAGGAATAGGAAGTAATAAAGATTTATTTCTAGATAACACCTTCTGGAAAAAAGCAAACCAAAGGTCACAACTTAAAAAGTAGGAAGAAAAGTGTTATATGTAGGTGCAGAGTAGCTGATGTCAAGAATATGTGAATATTCTCACATTGAAACTGTCAAATAAGTCAGAATACAGGTCACTGGGAATATAAACTTATTTAGAACTGAATTTTCTAGGATCATTCTAGGCAGTGGCTGGAAAACAGGTTCTTGAGCAGGTCCTTCTTCTGAAGGCTGCTCTTATTCCTTTACCAAAAAAATTCAAGATAATACCCTGCCTACTTCAAAAGGACCTTAAAGTAGCTTAGGCCCAAACACTAGGCAAGTAGAGCAA